GGCAACAAGTGGAATACCCTAGGGGTGCAAGTGTGATATGTGTTGTCCATTTTCATGCTTGTTTATCTTGAAATTAGGTCAAACTATTTTTGTCGTTTTCATTTGCATCCAAACCCTAATTCTAACATGGTATATTTAGAAAACAATAAAGTACGAAAAATAAATTTACTAAGCTATTACAACACAATATGGGAAGGGGGGTACAAATGTTCAAATGGGGGGATATTTAGACAAGGAATTTAGATCTAATTATTACATCAATTTGGGGTATTTACAAGAAAATTAATTTGCACAAATTAAATAGAAATAAAATAAATATACAAGATGCAAAAAGGGTTTTTTATATGTATATAAAAAAGGTATTTTTTATGTCCAATAAACAAAATAAAAAAAGTATTATTTTTGGAGCTTTTTAATGTTTAGGGCAAAACCCTAACTTTCTTAGATAAAAAGTATTAATTATTTAATATATACTAATTTTTATCAATTATATATAAAATAAAAATAAAAATGAAGTATATTTGTCAAAATGATATTTTACTATTAAATGTTAATAAAAAATAAAGTGTATATATTTTTGTATTTTTTTACTAAATATTCTAATAAATATCTATATATATGTATTAATTTCTAAATATGTGTTATATATATAAAAATAATAATATTTAATATTTTAAAAAAGTATATTTTATACAAAATATTTTAAGAAGATAAAACAAAATAAAAATGAAAATAAAATATGCTTACATTATTTTCTAGTATTTTAAGTAAAAAGTGAGTTTATATAATTATTTATGTACAAATAACTAATCTAAACAAATAAATGCCTATAAATTCAAAAATGGTGTAAACAATTATTTTTATATTTTTAATATCATGAGGAAAAATAAATAAACCAGAATGAAAAAAGAAAAGTCAAAAAATCAATAAAACAAACAAAATGGGCTCAGGGGGTGTAAAACCAAAAACATGGTGTGAAAAGAAATATCAAAGCAGGCCCAGCCCATGTGGCTTCTTCTTCAACCTCTGGACAGAAAAATGTTCAAAAACGCGCGCCTGAACATCAATTCAAACATCTGGATTCCTTGATCTTTTGCACAAACTTACAACATAAGAAATGTTAAGCATTGAATCACGATTCTAAATATGTAAAGAACTCACCCTAACTCTCAGAAATGAGAGAGAATTTCATCATTCCCAAATCCTAACCTAAGTTTTTATCAATATTCAGACCTTAAATTCTCATAGCTCAGGCAAAATAAATGAAAAGTAAAAGTATGTACAGATTCAGGGGCATGAGTAGAACACTTCTTATTCACAAACTTAGAGCTAATGATGCCTACACTAAGAGTTAGAAGTTCAAGAAGATACCTGTTCAGTTGAAGTTGTATCTGGCAATGGGGGAGCTTTCAGGGCAAGATGATGATCTGTACAGCTTGCCTGAAGTGTAGTGATGCTATTCCAATGCTTACTTTGCTTTGAAACACCTTGAATCGAGCTATGGACCTTCAACTGCAAAACAAGAAAGTGAAAATGGTGGAACTGATTAGAGGAGTTACAGATCGTGTTTTATGTTTGGATTAGCTTTAAGTGATGCTAGGGAATGTGTTTGATGAGCTTTTAGCAAGAATGCATGAAAGGGATGAGAGTTGGCACTCAAACTGCAGTAAGAGCTCTGTTTGGGCAGTTTGAGGATGGTTCTGTGTTCTAGGGGGCAATGGAGGTGTTGGAGTCGTGTGCTAGCTCAGTTAGGATGTCTTGAATGTGTAAAAAATATTTGCTTAAGGGTTTTATTGCTGAGATGAAAGTTGTCTTGGTGTTATGCTCTATTTCTTCACACTTAAGCAAGCAAAGGCCAAGTTGGTGTTTAGACAGGTAGAGGCCCCCATAACATGCTGCAAACCTTGGCATTGATCAGTGTGATTAGTCCCTAAACTTGTGCCAAGGGGATTTGATCTGTACTTCTTGGATTTTCATTTTGACATAAAGCTTACTTTTACAAAAATGGTTAAAGTGCTTTATCTAAAAATGGATTAAACCATTATGCAATGCTTGAACACATAGAACATGGTCTTGGAACAATGAGTTTGCATTAAATTTATGAGTGTTGGATGGTTTAGAGGCCTGTAATCAAGTTGCATGCTGATTTGAAAAATTTGCACAAGTTATGAACATGGAAATTGGCCAATTCAAAAGTGAGTTTTCGCCATATTGCAAAATTCGATTCTCTCAAGTCATGAGGTTGTTTGATGAGTTCTTGGACATTTTGGAAAGCTTGGAATGTGTACTACAATCCATATTTGAAGTGCAAATTGAAATTCCAAGTGGAAGTATATGGAAAATGGTCTTGAAGTTAGGTAAAAACCTTGCCTAAAATAGGTCAAATATTCACTAAGTTAAGAATGGTTTAGTACCCTTATTCCAAAAATTGTAACTTGAGATACAAGCTTCTTTTGGGAAAACTTTGTGAATCAAAGTTGTAGATTATGCAATAAGCTACAACTTTCATGTTTTGACTTTTTCTTGAATCCAAATGAATCTTGGTGAGAAAGTGGGGCAAAGTTAGGAAAAAATTAGGGTTTTTCATAACTTAGAAAAATTCTAAGTTATGAAAAATTCTCATTTCAAACCCTAATTTGCAATTTCTGATTTCTTGGTGAAAAAGTTTCATGATTTGGCATGTTTTGATGAAAAATGAATCTTGACTCTTGATTTTGACCAAAAAGTCAAAGTTTGACTTTTCAGTATACAGTCAAAATTGATCAATTGACTGGGAAATTCAACTGTCAATCTTGTGTACTTGGGATCTTTTGAACTTGTTGAGCATGTCAAGACAATTCCATGGGGGCCTTGAGTCCATATGTGAGCTTGGTTTGCCATTGGCTAGGTCAAACAGTCAAAAATTGCCTTTGTGCAGTCAAAACCCTAAAAATGACCATTTTGCCCTTTTGGTGATCTGATCAAATTTCTTGTGGAATTGTGATCCAAACTTGATCAAATGGTCCATGTGAGTTCATAATGTTGATGTGGGTCAATTTTCATGAGATTTGACTGTCAATTGGCCACAGTTGACTTTTTCCCCAATACAGCTGATTTTTAGGTCAACTGTCCAATTGACTGGGCAAAACTTGGAATCAAGGCTTGAAACTTGATGTGGATAAACTTGGGAGTCCAATATGAAGCATGAAAGTCATTTTAGGCATTTTAAGTCAAAACATCTCTATGCAAACACAAACCCTAATTTGGGTCAACAGTGCAAGGAGAAGTCTTGAGCAGATGAAACCCTAACTGGATCTTGATCTCCAAGGGCTTTGTGATGAGAAATTATTGAGAAATGGGAGAGAAAATTTTGGGGTACAACAGTTGCCCCTGTTCAATCTTCTTGAATCCGAAGAGTTAGATTGGCAAGTTTGCCTTTCGTGACTCGAGGGTAAAAGGAGATTGGACACTAGAGTGCCCTTAAATTTGCACTCTTCAAAGCAAGGGATGTGGGAATGGGCTTAGAGATGCCATTTGGAGATGGGCTTAACGATTCCATCGGGAGGAATGACAGAAACTTGTCGGGGATGGGCTTAAAGATGCCATCTGGAAGGGTGACAGAAATCTTGTCGGGGATGGGCTTAAAGATGCCATCTGGAATGAGTATCAGAAAGATGCCCATGTTTTGAACCACATCTGAACTGGGGGTCTGAATAAGCAATAGATTGACATCCGTTGTTTGGAAGAATCCATAAACTGTTTTCAGAAGTTGAGAAGAGTCTGAACAAGCGATAGATTAACGTCCGTTGTTGGGAAGAATCCGTAAACTGTTTTCAGAAGTTGAGAAGAGTCTGAACAAGCGATAGATTAACACCCGTTGTTGGGAAGAATCCGTAAACTATTTTCAGAAGTTGAGAAGATTCTGAACAAGCGATTGGGAAGAATCTGTAAACTATTTTCAGAAGTTGAGAAGAGTCTGAACAAGCGATAGATTAACATCCGTTGTTGGGAAGAATCCGTAAACTGTTTTCAGAAGTCTGGAGAAGAATCTGAACAAGCGATAGGTTAACATCCGTTACTTGGAGAACCCGTGAACTGTTTTCAGAAGTCTTGAAGTTGAATAAGCAATAGAGCAGCATCCGTTGTTGGGAAGCGTCCGTAAACTGTTTTCAGAGGTTGCATCTGAACAAGCGATAGATTAACATCCGTTGTTGGGAAGAATCCATAAACTGTTTTCAGAAGTCTTGAAGTTGAAACTGAACAAGTGATAGGTTAACATCCGTTACTTGGAGAACCCGTGAACTGTTTTCAGAAATCTTGAAGTTGAATAAGCAATAGAGCAGCATCCGTTGTTGGGAAGCGTCTGTAAACTGTTTTCAAAAATTGAGAAGAGTCTGAACAAGCGATAGATTAACATCCGTTGTTGGGAAGAATCCGTAAACTGTTTTCAAAAATCTTGAATTTGGAGAAAGAACCGTCGTAGGGTTCCCTGATGATGAGCTCGTGTAAAACTGCATCTGGATAAATCTGGAATAAGCATTAGAATGTTGCTGTAACACCCCTTCTAAATACCCCAATTAAAGGTAAAGATAAAAATCAGAGAAATAAAATTGCACGGAAGGGATGCCACAACACACATCACATTCCAAAGTTTTTAAGGAAAAACGGACAGGATATGTTTGAAAGTATAAGCATTCCAACACAAAACAAACATACCATAAATATTTACTTCATTCTCTCGTGCAAACGCAACGGAGTTTCATAATTTCACATCATCTCCATTTATGGAGGAATCAAAACATAATCAAAGGCATCAAGCCATCCTAATTCACATAAACATATGTTATCAAGTCTCACATATACAAAACATCATATACACGAATAAGGATTATATACATCATAATCCAAATGCCAAATAATCGAGTTCGACACTGAATAAATTCCCCCCATGTGTTACTACCAGAGCATCGACTCGACTCTAATCAAAAATAAAACAGATTGCAATCCAATGCATCCGTTAGCTAGCGCCTCACGCTACCGTCCTCGGTACCTGCACAATGCCATCAAAAGCATTGGCCAACAAAAGGGTAAGAATTCCAATAATCATATAACATGTAATTTTAAGTAAATGAAATGGCAATAAATAAAACAATACATAATGATCATGTTCATTTTATCACCTGTAGCATCCTTACTCAAGGAATCCATTTCCAACACATTAACCATGTAAACCGATTATCCGAATGCTCACGTCCTTGGCACATAACCATAATTCAACAACAACAATATTGGCACATAATCAAACACATCAACACACATACATATCATGCACAATTATACATGTGACTCACAACACGACTCAACGTGTGCAAATGCGGTACCGACTCGTGGACCCAAAGTTCCACCACCTATATTTCCCTTCCGGATCAAGGTCACTACGTCTTTTCCCACAATAGGGTCACCGTCTAGATATTGTGGACCCAAAGTTCCACCACCTATGTTTCCCTTCCGGATCAAGGTCACTACGTCTTTTCCCACAATAGGGTCACCGTCTAGATATTGTGGACCCAAAGTTCCACCACCTATGTTTCCCTTCCGGATCAAGGTCACTACGTCTTTTCCCACAATAGGGTCACCATCTAGGTATTGTGGACCCAAAGTTCCATCGTCTCTGTTTTGTAAGGTCCAAAATATCTTGAAAAAGTGCAACAGAAAAGATCTCGGTATCTTTTAAAAACAACAAAACAATACGGTAACTCTAATCCGGAATTAAATTACATGCCAAGGCATAATCACAAATTATGGAAATACCTATATACATGCTCGCATTCACCACAAATCAGAATTTGGAAATCAACATTTAACGTCTAGTCTTGAATGCTGGCATGAAAATACTTATCCATAACTTGCAAGCAAAGCGGCATTACGTAAATGACAAAGACAACAAAACAGTGAGAGAAATACATAATCTTAAAGCATTATAACACGTCTACAAATTGCAAAACTATCTCCACTGCAAGCTTATGTCAAAACAAAGGAAATTGGAGTTATACCATAACTTGTAGAAAGTAAAACCTTATGCATCAAGATACATTATAATGCTTCAATTTCCACCAAAAAAACAACAAATAATGAAATTAAAGAATGCTAGTTAGTATCAAAGTATTAAAGAGATTAGTAGTATTGATTTCAATCCATGAGATTATGTTACCAACACTTTTCAAACAAGTGGTAAGAAATTCAGAATTAAGCATAAACTCATAACCTCATGAATAACTAACAAACGCCTTGTTTCTTATCATTTTGATATCAAAATTGATAATTAGTACCTAAAACTAAGCTGAGTGTTGGTATGCACTAAATTCCTAAATCAATTATAGAATTAACCTAAGCTAACACAAATCTGACAATTATACCTAATTATATTCCATTCTAAAAATCTGAAAATTATACCTAATTATATTCCATTCTAAAAATCTGAAAATTCAAGAGGCAAACAAACTCTCTAATTCAATTCTTGAATTCTTAACTATTGCAAAAATATGAAAATTCAACCTATATCCTAGTTACAACAACAACTCCAAATTCAAGATTCAACAGAAAAATAAAGGAGATTATAACAGTACCTCTTGAAGATGCTTGCAGTATATGAAGAGGAAGAATCGAGGTTGACTGGTGCTGAGTGTACCGACTGGGAGGAAGTAGGAAGCGACAAAGGGAGGTTGCAGACGCACGAAAGTAGAGCTGAGAGCGGAAGAACAGTCTGGCGGTGAGGAAACGGAATTCCGACGGCGAGGGAGGAGGCGGCCGGAGTTGGCTTGGTGTGGGTTTTATTGAAACAAGATGATGAAGATGTTGCAACTCCACCCTAGCTCCCTTTCTTCCCTTCTCTTCTTTTCTTTCTTCTTTCTCCTCTTTTCTTTTCCTACTACTCTTACTAACTCTCCATCTCTCTTTTATAAAACTCTCTCTCTACTACTAACTTTCCTCCCCCTATCTTTCTAAAATTGTAATTTGGCCCCAACAATTATTTAATTCAAATTATAATATATAACCCTATTAAACAATATTACACTACATAATATTTATTCTATATAAACCTAATCATGCCAATTAATCAAACAAAGTCAAATATTAATTACTACACACCAAATTAATATTACTCAAAATAGTATTTTATCATTATGAATATTTTTACTTCAAATAACCGAATCAACATTTAATCAAAAACGGGGTGTTACAACTCTCCCCCACTTAAAAGATTTTCGGCCTCGAAAATTTTGACCAAAACGAACAAATCGGGACATGCCTACGCATTCGTCCACCCAATCCTTGCGTTAATTAAACAACATACAAAATACACCTAACACAAGGGCATCTCCCTAGCCATAACGTTTAGACAAGAACAACCATGCCGAGATGCGAAGCCCATACAATGCACTCGACAATCTACTAACACCCAACAACTAAACAAGTCGCAGACACACCGGTTCGCTCGAGAACTAAACAAACAAGATCGGTACCATTCTAACGTCTCAACCATAGAATTAGTCATACACTCGAACCGACGCCTCGGAAACGAGTCACCAAAGGTAGGAACATAAAGTCCTACGACACAACACCGACACCATCGCTAAAACAAAAACAACAAAATGGTTATACAAACTAAAACTGAAACAATCAGGAAGGATAAAACCACGCGTGCTACGCAAACACGAAAAGATGCCATCATTCACGCATAAGTACGAACTCAAGAATTACACTTGCAGTTATCACTCTCAGTCCAGAAAATCACAAGGTCACATCGTCCTTGTAGGTTACCAACGTACCACCCTTGAACAAAACAAGTTACCCAAACATAACTGAACTGCGACACACCACTCATCCCAGGACGTAAACTGACGACTTGCGACTATAACTCACTAGCCCAAATCCAACAATCCTGCATACTCGCTAGAACTCAATGCTCGATATCTGAACCATGTTGTGTCACTTTTATGCATAAGATGCCAACCGTAAAACAACTCGGTTAATCCTCAACTTCACAATCACCCAAAAATGGATACGTTCAAAGCGTACACCCATCAAGACACCTTGCAACATCAGCTTCATCAACTCGAAGAATCACTCTTTCATTCTCGATTGATCAACGTCCGTTGATCCTCTGAAATACACGACATAGTTTGACCTCTTCAAATACTGTCCAAATATTTCACTTGTGAAACTTCGATGTATACACTTGACTTCCACGAAGTCTTCCCTTATAACAATTCAATTCCCAAAGTTTAATTAAGTAATCACCATCCTCGCATCGTCGCAAGATTAATACACTGGTTTCTTATTCGAAACATCTCTCATATCTTTCAATCTTCTAAAGTGGTAATCCAAACCAAAACACTCTCTCAAGAACTCTACTCATCAATTTCGTCTCATACTCCTGAAATTACAACATAGTTTGGACTTAGAACCATAACATCAATTTCTATGGAATCCAACATGAACACCGTCGCGACCGACTTCAGTCACAAATAGAACATCTTCCTCTATAAAACATCAATCATCTTTAAGTACATGTGGTTACCAAACCATCACCAAATTCCTTACCGTCAAGACTTATTTTAGTCGTAATCTAATAATCCACCGCGACCATTAGTATCCGGCGAAATCCATATGGTAGTAGTGAACGAATCCTTAATAACCTTCTGAGTTTAATCTCAACAAGCGTCTCAAAACAAACATGCAACATTCTTTCAAAATAATAAATCTCAAATAAGATATTCTTGGGTTATCCTCAATATCAACTTAATAAACTCAACAACAGACGAAGTCTCTTTATAGATCATACTCAACTTGAATTGTCTTCAACAATTCCAATCTCCTTGTCGTTAACATCTGTACCTATAAGGTTCCAATGAGCATAACTGCATCAAACTCTAACTCCCGCATCCGATAATTTTCCATAAGAAAAATCAAATCGTTCCAAGGTAGTAATACACTTTTCCAACTCTATGTCGAAATACATCTTACGTCCAAAACAAAATATCACAACACGTCGCACCAGGTTCTTCAGTACAAAACAAAACCAAAATCAAGGCATTCGCTAAACTTTTCACCGGCTAAAACAAATTCGCTTCCCATTGCGAAGTCCAATTAGTGACTCAACCATTTCGGGTCAAAATACTCACGATCAATACCAACTCATAAAAATATCTTCCATCAAACTCACAAAGTTAACCATCCAAAACAAAAGAACTTCTAAACTATGAATTAGCCCCTTAAAGTCTTCGACAAGACACAAAATAAATCTTCGCGGAACTGTCCAAAATATTGCCGTCTAAGTTGCTTACTTAAGACACTCACGTCCAACAGTTCCAAAACTCCTTCTTTAGAGGACTCAACATGCACCAATCTAACTCCACTACTGATAACGCAACACTCGGATGCTTGCCACAATCCCTTAACTTGATGTAAACCAAATAATATCCATGAACATGAAACAACTCTTCAGCTACTCATGAGAGTACTGTTGGAACATTCCAAAATCTGACCTGACGCATTAGTCACACTAATGACATCAGCTTATACTCGCCCGGACCATACACTATCTTGAAAAGCATTGCCTGAACATCTTTAACCCTCACACTAACCCATAGGCATCCAGACTTCAAAACGATCTCACTAAACACATAAACTCCAAATAACTGCTTCACTTAAATATCAATCCTCCGAAGCAGACACTCGTCCTCAACATCCGCTTCGTTCCTTGACTACAAACGACACACCAACTTGGGTAACCTTTGCTCTTCTCGAACAACACAATCGGCGCACTCCACGGCGAACCACTCAAACAAACAAACTCTACTAAAACCAATATTCAAGTTGACTCTCCAACTCTAATTCAGAAACAAACATCCCTTAAGGATACTTCGAATCCCAACTAGTTCCAGAAACTAAATCCATCAAAACTTCACCTCGCACTACAGCGGTAATTCACTCACATTTCCACAAAAGGTTTCGGAAGAATCACAACAAGAAGCTCGCTTGCCAAAAATCTTATTTCTCACCAAAATCCAAATTCGCCCACAACTCAAGTAACCATGCACTGCCTTGCGCCAACTCATCTGCTTCACACTCTAATAAGTTGGCAAGACAAGTCTATCCCAAACAACACAATTCCCGACTACTATCAACAAGAGATTAAGGATGATCAGTCCCTCAATTTGTTAATAGACAGTCGACAATCATGAGGTGGCATTAACCATCGTTACCAAACCACAACAGCATCTTCAATCTTACCCCTCAAGCTACTTAAACATAACCATGCTTGAAGCATCAACTGCTCGGTAATACTTACATCTTACAATCGGCGGTATACTGAACCAACCTCTTGCACAAAACTTCAGAGAAGAGACTTCTCCCCCACTTATTTCACACGCACCTCTGCAGACAACGAAAAGGACACAAACAAGTACCGACAGTGTTTCACACACATGTCGCGTACCAAAAGGGATTAAACACATAAACAACCTGGCCGATAGACCGACCTGCTCTGATACCACTATTGTAACACCCCTTCTAAATACCCCAATTAAAGGTAAAGATAAAAATCAGAGAAATAAAATTGCACGGAAGGGATGCCACAACACACATCACATTCCAAAGTTTTTAAGGAAAAACGGACAGGATATGTTTGAAAGTATAAGCATTCCAACACAAAACAAACATACCATAAATATTTACTTCATTCTCTCGTGCAAACGCAACGGAGTTTCATAATTTCACATCATCTCCATTTATGGAGGAATCAAAACATAATCAAAGGCATCAAGCCATCCTAATTCACATAAACATATGTTATCAAGTCTCACATATACAAAACATCATATACACGAATAAGGATTATATACATCATAATCCAAATGCCAAATAATCGAGTTCGACACTGAATAAATTCCCCCCATGTGTTACTACCAGAGCATCGACTCGACTCTAATCAAAAATAAAACAGATTGCAATCCAATGCATCCGTTAGCTAGCGCCTCACGCTACCGTCCTCGGTACCTGCACAATGCCATCAAAAGCATTGGCCAACAAAAGGGTAAGAATTCCAATAATCATATAACATGTAATTTTAAGTAAATGAAATGGCAATAAATAAAACAATACATAATGATCATGTTCATTTTATCACCTGTAGCATCCTTACTCAAGGAATCCATTTCCAACACATTAACCATGTAAACCGATTATCCGAATGCTCACGTCCTTGGCACATAACCATAATTCAACAACAACAATATTGGCACATAATCAAACACATCAACACACATACATATCATGCACAATTATACATGTGACTCACAACACGACTCAACGTGTGCAAATGCGGTACCGACTCGTGGACCCAAAGTTCCACCACCTATATTTCCCTTCCGGATCAAGGTCACTACGTCTTTTCCCACAATAGGGTCACCGTCTAGATATTGTGGACCCAAAGTTCCACCACCTATGTTTCCCTTCCGGATCAAGGTCACTACGTCTTTTCCCACAATAGGGTCACCGTCTAGATATTGTGGACCCAAAGTTCCACCACCTATGTTTCCCTTCCGGATCAAGGTCACTACGTCTTTTCCCACAATAGGGTCACCGTCTAGGTATTGTGGACCCAAAGTTCCATCGTCTCTGTTTTGTAAGGTCCAAAATATCTTGAAAAAGTGCAACAGAAAAGATCTCGGTATCTTTTAAAAACAACAAAACAATACGGTAACTCTAATCCGGAATTAAATTACATGCCAAGGCATAATCACAAATTATGGAAATACCTATATACATGCTCGCATTCACCACAAATCAGAATTTGGAAATCAACATTTAACGTCTAGTCTTGAATGCTGGCATGAAAATACTTATCCATAACTTGCAAGCAAAGCGGCATTACGTAAATGACAAAGACAACAAAACAGTGAGAGAAATACATAATCTTAAAGCATTATAACACGTCTACAAATTGCAAAACTATCTCCACTGCAAGCTTATGTCAAAACAAAGGAAATTGGAGTTATACCATAACTTGTAGAAAGTAAAACCTTATGCATCAAGATACATTATAATGCTTCAATTTCCACCAAAAAAACAACAAATAATGAAATTAAAGAATGCTAGTTAGTATCAAAGTATTAAAGAGATTAGTAGTATTGATTTCAATCCATGAGATTATGTTACCAACACTTTTCAAACAAGTGGTAAGAAATTCAGAATTAAGCATAAACTCATAACCTCATGAATAACTAACAAACGCCTTGTTTCTTATCATTTTGATATCAAAATTGATAATTAGTACCTAAAACTAAGCTGAGTGTTGGTATGCACTAAATTCCTAAATCAATTATAGAATTAACCTAAGCTAACACAAATCTGACAATTATACCTAATTATATTCCATTCTAAAAATCTGAAAATTATACCTAATTATATTCCATTCTAAAAATCTGAAAATTCAAGAGGCAAACAAACTCTCTAATTCAATTCTTGAATTCTTAACTATTGCAAAAATATGAAAATTCAACCTATATCCTAGTTACAACAACAACTCCAAATTCAAGATTCAACAGAAAAATAAAGGAGATTATAACAGTACCTCTTGAAGATGCTTGCAGTATATGAAGAGGAAGAATCGAGGTTGACTGGTGCTGAGTGTACCGACTGGGAGGAAGTAGGAAGCGACAAAGGGAGGTTGCAGACGCACGAAAGTAGAGCTGAGAGCGGAAGAACAGTCTGGCGGTGAGGAAACGGAATTCCGACGGCGAGGGAGGAGGCGGCCGGAGTTGGCTTGGTGTGGGTTTTATTGAAACAAGATGATTGTGATCGGTGGATCTGGAACTGACTGTTTTAACGCTGGTTCGCGAAATGTCGCGGTAAGCAAGAGTCGCCACCGTCTTTTATTTTCTCCAATCGGAAAGGACAAAAGCACAGAAAAATTCCTTTAAAGAGATTGCTCTCGGTTCGGGAGGTAGATTATAGAAAGGGAAGGTGTTAGCACCCTTTCTATCCATGGTTATCCATGGGCTCTTAGATACTTGCTCAATGTGTTTTCAAAATTGTTTGTTTGCTTTTCAATTGTGGGTTAACAAAGTTTCTTTGAAAAAATTCAGTTCGACTCGTACGTCAGAGTGTTTGAAAAATTTGCTTTGAAAGATTTTGAAAAGTGTTGGTGTGAAAAGTCTTTGAATTTTTGTTTTGAAGAGAGCAAGTATCCATGAGTCGTCTACCTACCCTAAGGAATTCGTCTGTGTAAATGTCCTTTAAAGTAGTGCCATCCCACCATTGAGAGGTAGGTAGCACCACCGTTGGAGGTGTTCGGGTCAATTCGAGTTTTAGGGACGTGGTGACCACCGGAGCAATGGGAAGACACCTTAGAAGCTACCCTCATGCCAGGTTCCCGGACCATGAGGACTTACTAAGACGTTTTCTACTCGACGACCACCTTTCGAAAGGCAACAGTGAGGCGTACCCTAGGGGTGGTGTGTGCGAATTGTGTGTCATTTTCAGTTCATTGTTTGTCTTGTCATGCATTGGTGATCTAACGATTCGATTTTATTTTTTGGGCATTCATTCTTTCATGCATATTTATTAACAGTTATATTTGCGAGAAAATAAATCTAAACTATTACAACTGGCGCGGGTCCACATCGCCAAAAAACCGAACCCGATTTGACTGAAAATAAATAAAGCGATAAAATAAAAAGTGCAAGAAATAAATCTAAACTTATTACAAGGCTTTGGGGCATATACAGAGGTATTTAAACAATATAAAATAAATGCGCGAAATAAAGACTAAACAAAATTAGGGCATTGGACCCTTTAACAGATAATTAAAATAATCAAGGAATTTTAAAATTAAAAATTAAATGAAAAATAATGTTTTTGTGTTTTTTAGGTTTAAAAGAAAAAAGAGAAAAGTTAATTAAAATTAAAATCCTAGTTCTATCATTTTTTAAGTTTATTATGAAAAAGATTTAATTTCTAACCTAATTAAATTCTAAATCAATTTATATACAATTTTTGATTTATAGAAAATAAATAATAAATAATAATATTGTGAGAAAAAAGGAAAAAATTAAAAAAGATATAAAAAATTAATAATCAACCTAATTCTACATTTTTTGGATTTTTTATTATGAAAAAAGAATTAAAATTAACATTAAAACCTAATTAAACTAAATGAATTACATTTTAATTTATAAAAAAAAAAAGAATCAAAATTAATCATATATTTTTTGTCCTTTTCTGTATTTTTAGTGTTTTTTATATTTTTGTAAGAATTAATTAAATAAAACAATAAAACATGACAATTGAAATAATAAATAAAAAGATAAAAAATAAATAAAAAAAATAATCAAAGTATGCAAACCAGGGTGAGGGAACCCCAATTTGGAGGGTGTTAATTAGAAAGGCCTGGCCCATTTTTGTGAGAATTTGTTGACTTTCTGGATTGTGTGTGACGTGTTTGACTGGCCTCCACCATATGCCCTCGTTATGGACCCTTTGCTAAGTTTCCTGGGACACGTGGATGAGTTGATGCTGAAGCGCATGGTGAGTCTTAATGTGAGGCCTGCATGGGAATTAGAAATGAAAAATAATATTGGAAATGTGTGAGACCTGGGGTTTGAACCCAGGTCATTAGAGTCCCTAGTGCGCGTCCCTGCCAGCTGAGCCAATTGATTTCATTTAACATATTATAGTTAATAAACAATATAAAATAAAACCAACGCATATGGACTAACACGCGCGCGAATTTTGAATGGACGAGTCACAGCGTGCCACATCTTCATCTTCTTCACGTCCCTGTAAACAAAATTCATTGGCAACGGTTTTGAAGCGCTGCATTAGGCCACATTTGAAAAAATAGCGAATAGAGCTGTGGGCATCAGAAATTAATCGCGAGGGTCAAGATGTTTTCGTCTTGAGGCACTGAATTCAGCCATGGTGCTTCTGAGTTCTAATTTTTCTTATACTCAAAATCCCCAATTTAAGAACACTGGAACCCTAGAATTCGAAAATGGCAAATTCATATTTATGGCACAAAAATGAAATTAAATGCATTGGTCAGTTTGGAAACCTTGTGAGGAACATGAATGTATAATTAAAAATGCAAGAGGATGCGTAGAATCAAGAATACGAATTCAAAATTTCTCTGTACAGTTTCACTTGCAGAGACTAGTTCAAGGAGCTTTTGATTGAGGTTATGGATTGAAAATCGTTCAGTGATGGTCCAGGATGCTAATGGTATAAAAATTGAGGCTTCCAAAGATCCCTAGCTTTGAAATCAGTTTTGCCTTTTATGTCCAAATTTTCAAATTGTCAAATGGCCTTTGAACGAGTTTCTTGCTGCACTAGGGTTAGGGTTTGACTCAATGATCATTATGGAATTGAATAGGCTTGATAGCTCTCCTTAATTCATGCTTGTTAGAGAATTGGCCTTAGGGTTTGTCCATTAACCATTTTTTCCTAATTTCTAGCCAAAACCTAGACCTAGTGTGTAAATGAACCTTGGCCTGATTTTTGAGTTGGTTCATGATACATAGAACTTGTCCAAATTCATATGACATCATTTCATTGATTTTTTAAATTTTATTTGAATTTTTAATGAATTAAAATGAATTAAATCATCAAAAATTAAATAAAATAAAAAAGTCAACATTTGGTCTTGAAATCAACCATGGGCCACGTGTGTGGCATGACAAGGATGGACAAAATGAGAAAAATGGGGCCCTTTTGTCAAAATTGGATTTTCAAGGATAGTTGACTTTTGCCATTTCTCAAAAATTTCCCAACTTCTACAAGGCATAACTTGCTCAATTTTTAAGCTTTTCACATGTTCTTGGACATTTTGGAAAGGTCTTTGAGTCCTTTAACCAATGTCTTTGGTCCCATGTTATTTTGATCTACCAATCTCAAGTTATGGCCTTTGACTTAAAGTCCCTTTTTGTTGACTTTTGAAAATGACCTATAATGTTGAAATTGATAACTTTTTGTGAGAGCATTTCTTGGACTTGAAGTATGAAGATGAGTTGTAGGAAATGTCTTTCTCTTCAAAATGAGCTTTGGATGGAATTTTTCTGATAATCCATGTGAAAGTTATGCCCTGGTCAATTTCAGTTGACTTTTTCAGCTGTCCAAATATAGCAACTTTTGCATCTTTGATGATTTCTGAGCCAAATTTTGAGAATCATGATCAAGCATTGATCAAATGATGTTTGTGGCTTCAAAATGATATGTTGACCAAAAATTTGAACTTTTGACTGTCAAATGACCATTTTGCCCCTACAGTTGACTGTAGTGCAATTTAGGGTTTTGACTGTGCAATCTTGAGCTGAATGCCTTGAAACTTGACATGGGGATGCTTGACCATGTTTGTAAGCATATGAGACTTGATTGGGCCTTTGAAAAGTTCATTTGCCTGACCAGAACTCAAACCCTAGTTTTGACTGTATAGGAGACAGTTGCACTGCACAACCCTTGGGGAATTTTCTAGCTTGGCTTGGCAATTTCTTGAGGAATATGGGAGGGCAAATTTTGGGGTATAACAGTTGCCCCTGTTCAATCTTCTTAGACCTGAGGATGCAGATTGGCTGACGTGCCTTTCGTAATCCGAGGGTAAAAGATGATTGGACACTAGAATGCCCAGAAATTTGCGCTCACATGGTAGCAGTGTGGTGGGGGAATGGGCTTATAGATGCCATTTGGAGATTGCTGGATTGGATGATGGGCTTATAGATGCCATCTGGGTGTTTTGATTGCGTAAGAGATTTCTTAATGAGAACCTGCATACCTGCAAAACAGAAAAATGAGTACCTGACACGTTGCAGGAACTGATGTTTAGATGTGTCCTGACTGGTTACAGGAGCTGAGTCTGGAGCTTCAAACAGCAATGAAAGAACCAGGGATGATTACTTCCTTAGCATGAATGGTAAGAGAGCCTTGGGCGACTTTAACTTCAACAACGCTCGTTGAGAAAAATCTGGGGTGTCTTCTACTGGGATAAGAATCAGGGAGATCTTAGGGTTGATCTGACTGAACCAGAGAAGGCCTTTGACTGGATAAGTCTAGGTCTTGAAATGTCTTCCACTGGATAAGCAATCAGGAAAATCTTGGGACGATTTAACTGAACCAGAGGAGGCCTTTGACTGGATAAGCAATCAGGAAAATCTTGGGACGATTTAACTGAACCGGTCTAGGTCTTGAAATGTCTTCCACTGGATAAGCAATCAGGAAAATCTTGGGACGATTTAACTGAACCAGAGGAGGCCTTTGACTGGATAAGCAATCAGGAAAATCTTGGGACGATTTAACTGAACCGGTCTAGGTCTTGAAATGTCTTCCACTGGATAAGCAATCAGGAAAATCTTGGGACGATTTAACTGAACCAGAGGAGGCCTTTGACTGAAACAGTCTAGGTCTTGAAATGTCTTCCACTGGATAAGCAATCAGGAAAATCTTGGGACGATTTAACTGAACCAGAGGAGGCCTTTGACTGAACCAGTCTAGGTCTTGAAATGTAGCTTGAGAACTTAACTGGATCTTCCCTGAAAGGTAAAAGTCAGTCATATGCAATGCATGATATGGATCAAGCAATGATGTTCTCAACATAAATGAGATTTGTATGATGCAGTGCGTTATGCATGCTATAATGATGTATGTGATGTTTTGTGTATGTTTTTGTCTAGGAAAGTGAATCCTTGACGGGTGCCGGGAAGTCGTATCCTGGGCTGATGTCGAAGAATAGATTTTGCTTCCGCTGGGGATGATAACTGCAAGGATACCGGTAGGAGAAGATGACTCCGTTGCGGAATAAACTTGGCGAATGGAAGATTCTGCGGGGAGAAAAGATACTCTAGCGATCATGCTGGAAAGCAATACTCTGTGGGAAGAGTGATGTCTTGCTGAATGTTGATAGTAACTCTGTTGGGAATACCGTTGTTGTATTGGAAGTGTGAATTGACTTCACTGGGGATAGGAAAGAGCTACGTTGACGACGACCTTTCCTTGGCTTTTGGCTGAGGATAACCCAGTTATATCCTGTTAAGGAAATAACTCTTTAAATCAAGCCAGACGACGCGTTCGTGTCCTGCGAGGGGATAAGCTTCCAGAATCTACTGGGGATAAGCTTACTGCTTGGGGAGATGAATTCCATCTTTCCTGGGGAACCTGGAGGGGACTCTCCTGGGGAATTTAAGATAGGCTGGGGAAGTGATTCCTTTGAACGTTGATGTATGCCGTCGGGGATCAATCTTTAGACCAAGACTGCCGGGGATGCTTGTTAAGAATATATGATGCTGGGGAGTGTTGAGATCTGCGAGAGGATACTCAACTTCCTTAAGGTTGATAACTGCTTTGCTTGAGGAGAGTATACTGCTTGCTGGCTCGCTCTCTGGGGAATTAAGATACCTGGTTGTGTTCTTCAACAGGACCTACCCTGATACCTTGGAGGATAGAACAATCAGACTGCCCAGATCAACCTTTATTGCCCCTGTTTCTTGTGG